GTTATGTCCCCCCCTCTTTGGGAATGGCCTAAAGACACTTCAGTCAGTAGTACCGCCCTGGGTAGGCAAATTTTATTGAATTTCTGTTTTTTGACTTAACACCATTGTTGTCAATTTAAGAACACTTTTCAGTGTGGATTTTATTGAAAAACATTAATTGAAGGCACAAATAAGGTAAGTTTTCAGTTTCCAAGGACTATCAAGCTATGGAAATAACCAGACTTTGGCAGCTATTTTCTTGCTAATTCTACCTTTGAAACCAGGTGATCATTTATTCAAGATAGATGGGTATTTTTTTCACTGATAACAAGACAACTGAACAAGCTTTAAGAAGATACCAATAACTCCACATGCCCAAAATTGACAAGTGCCTGATTCCACCACGTCGTGACACAAATGATACATTCTTGATCTACAAACTACAATATACAAAACAGAAATCATGAAACACTTCTCTAATACTCTGAATTCTCAAAGCATCTTACATATATACTACTAAAAACTCTAAACTAAAATGTTTAAAACGGATTTCAATTGTTTGGAAATAATTCAAACCAAGAAATAAAAATTGAATAAACACAACTGCTTTGGGCAGAATCCACACATACATAATATAGACAAATATATTGACAGCATAAAGATAGCAGGCAAGTTCTCTTCTACAAATTTCAGAATCAGTAACAGCTTAATGTTTTTAAATGTTTGTTTTTCCCCCGACAGAGAATAGATACAAAGTGTCCATTATCAAACAACTAGTCATGGTATGACAATTAGAAAGAATAAATCAGCCGTATGTGTTTCAGATTATGTTCAGTCTCTTGACTCTTCTAGCTGGGAAAAAAAATGATCTCAGATTTCACACACTATTACACGCACAGACATACAGGAGACATTTCATCATTCAAAATTCATCCAAAAAACCTCCACTTAATCGAAAAAGTGGTGCTTTTGAGGAAGGCACAACAAAACAAATCTCTCTCGGGCAACCACAGACTCAGTTCTGGGTAATTGGCACTAACAATTTACTCACTGTATCGCACTCTGCCGTTTTTTGTTGTTGTTGTTTTATTTTTTCACTTTTCCTCTTTTAATGAGCTCAATGACTATTATTCAACAAAAAATATCTCTTCCAAAGAGACACCGTAACAAGGAGGCAAAATTCTCTGCACGAATACATATAGGTGAGGCATCGTCGTGGAATCAGGCTCTCGTCAATTTTTGGGCATGTACGTTATTGGTATCATCTTAAAGCTTGTTCACTTGTCTTTATTTGGATGAAAAAAATACCCATTTATCTGGAATACAAGTTGAGATATTTGCGAATGAAGGAGGTGGGGGTCACCTGTTTTCAGAGGTAAAATTAGTGAGAAAATGGTCGCCAAAGATTAGTTATTTCCTTAGCTTAAGAGTCCGTGGTAACTGAAAATCTACATTTTTTGCGCCTTTAATCAACGTTTTTCAGAAAAATCCCCACAGAAATTAGTCGTTTAATTGGGAAGAAAGGTGTTTAGCCAAAAAACAAAAATTTTATAAAAATTCACAAACCTGTGCAAAAATTCAAGTTTCTTCATTTTGATTATTTTGACGAGAGCCTGATTCCACCACGCTGCCTCAACATATTATAAAATTTTGCAAAACAAACAAAAAACAAAAGAGGGAGAGAAAATTTAAAACATACATTCAAACTTCCACATTCAAGCAAAATCACTTTATATAGATATATAATAATAATAATAATAATGAGCAGATTAATTTCTGTAATAGCAGTACATGTATTACTAAATAAGCTTTCTTTCAACATTTTGGATATATGATGAATGTATCATAACACCTGACAAGACTGGCCCAAAGTTTTAAGTGCCTGAGGTAACTGAAAGTGCTGCACTGAGCAGAGACAACATCATCAACAGAGAAGAAAAAAAGACTTTCAAATGGGAAACAGTTACTATTTGTGAAAGTGGTGTTGTAAAAGAGGTGGAATTTTGATAAGGACAGCAATGTTTAGAGACGTCATCGCTGAATTAAATTCGTTGGTGGTAGGATCCTGAAAATGGAAGCATAAAATATAAGTGTAAAATAAAATTATGATTTACTTGAAGTATTTTTGCTTGTAAAATGAATATTACATCTACAGGATGGAAACAAATTTCCAAAATAAAGATTAATAATAATAAGACAGGTTTCTATATACTCGGAATCCCTGAATATTTTGATGTACACACTTCAGGGGCTCTCGTGGCCTAGAGGTTAAGGTGTTGGCCTCTCATTCAAAGGTCCCGGGTTCGAATCCGGGTAGCGACCAAAACATTTTCTTCTCTAAAATTGTCTCCTTTCACCTTCCCTGCTCTCTAGCAATGTTCTGTTGTCTGCTCTCATTTCCATTTTCTGCCCCCACCCCCTCACCTCCTTTGCCCCCTCCTCTGGGCTCCTGACTCTTTCTGCAGCCTTTCTACTGCTACTCCTTGGCCCCTCCTTACTGCTGTCTTTCTGCCACACCCCTGATCTTCTGGTAGGAAAGATCTACACCTAGCCTTCTCGGACAAGGGCGAAAAATCTCGGAGGGCCCGTGTGCAAGTTGCGCACGTTAAAGATCCCTTGGTGGTATAAAATCGATAAGAGTAGGCTTCGGCCGCCACCCGGGCAAAATTAAAAATTTCCTACCAACTGAAAATATTAGGTGTGTCCCGCGCGCTCATATGACCTATGCAGTTGCGAGCGCCGTAAAACACTTTACAAAAACAAAACAAAAAATAAAAATACACACTTCTCTGGAACATACATATTATTTTGTTATCAACGATCAAAGCAATGCTATTGGGGAGAAGAAAAAAGAGATGTTCAAAGTAGATTTTAACAAAGCCTATAAAGCTGTGAATGTATGTATTACTGACACACTTACACAACTCTAACCATTTCTCCCATACTAATAAGTGCTGCTTCCCTCAACTGTCTCATTTTCAATTACATTTCGCAATGCAGAAATGAGGCTCACAGGGTTCTGGGTGGATGGGACATGCACAGATTTACTAGAAGCAAGACAACGTCATGCCAAAATACAGATGTACCCATATGACACATCTGCACTAAGCTAACAAAACGCCTTTTTTCATTTTTGCGGCATGTGTGAAAAAAAAAAATCTTAGTGAAACTGTGACTAATTTTTGAATAAAAGAGCATTCAAATTTCTGAAGAAAGCTATTTTGTATGTTTACCTTGACAAAATACTTTTAAAAAAAAAATCTCAAAACTGCTGTGGATAACAAAAAGGAGTTTTTTCAGCTTACGGTAAACGTATTAGGCAGGAGAGTCATTTTATAAAAAAATTGGAGTAACCTCCAGAATACTATTACCTTTTCATCGTTATCCAACACTGCTCATTGGCGATCATATGCAAATTCACAAGGAGTTGTGCTTTAAGTGTGGAATTATTTCCACAAGCAGTACACAGATACAACAATCACAGACGCACGTTCATGATAAATACACTCTCTGCACTTAATGTCTCTCCCACACAAATACAGATTTATTTTAAAACTTATTTTATAGTTTGGAAGACACAAACTTACTAACAAAACAAGTATTAATTGCATCTTAACCACAAGCTAAAAAAAAAAAAGAAAAAGCATAACATATTGCTCCCCACTGAGACCAGTCTCAATTGCTTTACTTTGTAGAAACAAAGAAAGGATTAAATTGAAGGAGAATACAAGTTTTATCATTTGGTATTTCAGTATGCAGGAACCCATAATAATAAATATAAAACCAGCCACAACAGTAAAGACAGAGGGTGAAAGAAAACATTATCAAATGTAACTTACAGTACTGTGCATGTCTAACAATACTCATGATGTATCAAAGACACATTTCTGCATCACGATCAAACAGCTGATAAGGAAATAGCAGAAGAAGCATTAAATGAGCAAAAAAGAGATAAAAAGAGAGACAAAGGCAAATACATATAGAAAAAGAGAGAAAGAAAAAGGAAATGAGTGGAAGACAGAAAGAAAAAAGAGGAGGAGGGAAGAGTCCAAGAGCAAAAAAAGTTCCAAGTGAATAGCATTTCATGCACATACTACTGTGCCAAAAATCAATACCTCCTTCCTGCAATATCAAAAAGTGACTATATGAATAGTCTAAACAGTGAACACTCTCTCCATTGCAATTTTACAAGAACACACATTTCCTTTCTTTGAAATAGAGAAATGCTTATGCAGCAGTCACGAATATACTACCAAGCTATCTCATAAGATCCACTTATCCTCAGCCAGCTGTTCAGATGTATTAAGCCCCAAATTTTTCATTGTTTTTCAATGGCAGATTCTTAATCTGTTGTATTGGTTGCATGTGCTTAAGAAATATTTGGTTAAAATTGAAATTCTAAATGTTAAAAAGAGGAGGAAAAAAAATGTGCGCTCGTCAAAATAATGAAAGTCAAGAAATAGGCACTTTCCGCAGGTTTGGGAATTTTGATAGAATTTTTTATTTTTGGTTCAACACCTTTCATGCATATTAAAGAGCCCATTTCTGAGTGGATTTCACTGCAAAATGTTGATTAAAGGCAGAAGAAATGTAAATTTTCAGTTTCCATGGACTCTCAAGCTAAATAAATAACTCAACTTTGGCGGCCATTTTCTCGCAAATTTTATCTCTGAAACCATGTGACCTTCACCTCCTTCAATCACACATATCTCGACTTCTTTTCAACATAGATGGATTTTATTTTCACCCAAAGCAAGGAAAATGGACAGGCCTTAAGATGGTACCATCAACTCTGTAAGCCCAAAAATTGACGAAAGCCTGATTCCCCCGCATCGTGCCACAAATGTATAATGCAGGTATAATTCTTAAAAGAATAAAATATTTATCAAAACCTGAAAGATTTTTCCATCTGGGCTTAGGACATTTGAGCAACTTGCCAACATTAAGTCTCATTAGCAGGTGAGCGCACTTGAGATGCTCCTCCACTATCCTGTGATATAAAAAAACAACTTCGCCTTCGGTTTTTTTTTTTTGACATAACATTTCGTTGTGATTCGGGGATTTGAGAAAGAACTGTGAAATAGCACCACATTTCAAATAATTGCCAAAGATTACCCTTCTCCGAAGGATAATAAAAGCACTGCGAGAGAGAATATGAAGTTTTCTCTGTCCACTGTAAAACATTAAAATTGATAAGTCACACAGACCAGGTCATTGTAACACATAAAAGTCTCTATAGCCTTATAAAATAGCCTGCATCAGAATTAAGAGGGAAAACACCTTTCCCCGACATCAGTCATTACATTCTGATGTGCGAAAAGGTAGGAATGTTGGTAGTACCAGGAAATTGGAATAACGTTTATTCAGAAGACCCGTAAACATATAATTTCAAGAGAGATTTATAAGACTCAGCATGTTGCTTCAGATTTGTCTAAAGTCTGGGGAAAGCAATATTAAAAAACAAATATCTTAGCCACCCCTGCACCCTTCAGCAATTTCTTTGCCAGACTATACTTTGCCTTAGCTTGAAAATTTGTGTAACAAAAATTCCTCCAGGGTTTCAGTATAAACTAATAAACGATGACAGCGTCCACTAACATGTTCACATCAGCCAACATTTTACCTTAAAAGGCTCAAACTCCAGGAATATACAGGATGTATACAGGGTATATTAATGTATCTGAAAGTCGGAACACAACAGAAATTAAGAACATTTATCACCAAGATGTATTCAGATTCACTGAATTTCTTACACTGTAAGCAGAATGAAACATAAAAAAAGGGAAAATAACATATTATGTCATACAAAGCGATGAGAACATTCAAATTTCCTGAATTTCAGAAATGTCTGGAAAAGTGGTATCCATAAGAAAATTACTTTGGACACTGATTGAATGACATGCTTTGAATTCCTAAATCTTGTGACAAATGGATCCACTGTCATGCCGGGAAGAGAAGCAAACACACTGCCATGAACCCATTGTATGCTATCTTCACATCAACACAAAATATAAATCTGGTATGAACATATTCCTGTAGCATTATCATAACAGTTGCAGCTCATATTATATAATGCTATTAATATATCTTATCATAAGTCACAAGTAAAAGAATTGAAAACATGAAAATGATATGTATAATAATGAACAATCATTATATCACTTCTCAGTAAAACGAACATGAACTATGAAAAAGCATTCATAACTTGCAGGCTACTAGGGTTCTTTCCCTCATAAGACATCAACCATACAATTTGATGAAATAACACTCGAAACACATCCCCACTTTAACAGGAAAAATTAGGCACCTACAGTACAATAAAAATGACACATTTATTCTTGTAACATCCCATAAAACAGTAAACTTTAAAAACTAAATTCTATCTCTGTAAAGGAACTTTGTAATCTATTTCCAGCGCAGTCCTATTGAACTTTTCAAAATGCCATCTTTGAGAGTTGGCTTCATCACAGGGATTCATAAAGATTTCCTGGGTGGACTTGTCACTGTCCAAACACAAGCCACTGATTGGGTGGTACAGCTGTTGGCTGCCCTGGGAAATAAAGGGAAAAAAATAAAAAGAATAAATGGATCTACAGGGACAATGAGTCATCTGATTTTAATGGATGCATTAAAAATACCTGGGAAAAAAAATGAAACAATGAAACAACTGACGTCAATGGATACGTTAAAAATATCTAGAAAAAAATTAATACACAAGGAAAAGTAAACATCGGATGTTGATAGGCATGTCAATGGTTAGGTGCAAGGCTCCGCCACACTGCAACATGGTGTTTGTTAGAGTCTTCCATCCAGCCATCGATATCAGAAAATATCTAAAATTAATGTATAAGCCATTACTCGAAAATGTCAAAAGTAAACATATTTTTGGACGCACATAAATATAGTTTGAGAGAACTGACAAAGTGGTATTTGCATTAAACCAATAGTCAAAGACTAAAGAAATATTTAGACAGGATTTTTTTTAAATGTCTACAGCGATTTGACAAATATGATCTAAAAAAGAATGAGACTTTCACAGTATTCTTTGGGTGGGGTTTGGTGGGAGGGGGGTGATATACAACAAAAACTGTACAACTTTATCTGAGAAATCCAAGTTGAACTTAAGAGGCCTCAAAATGAGCTGCTGATTATAACAAAGAAAGAAATAAAACAAAAAACCCCCACCCCAAAATAAGCAATCAAAAAAGCTGCTGACAACTTCAAAGAAAGAATGAAACAAAAACATAAGCATACAGAGAAGTCTAGAGAAGGACATGAACTTTGTTACAGGACGTACCACATTGTATTTGAACCTTTGGTTCCCCTGCATGCCATGGCAGGTGAACAGGATAACTGGCGACTTGGGGTTGCTCGAAGACGCATCGAAACACAAGTTCCTTCGCTTCGGCCGGATGTCTTTGTGCCACGTGAACTCAAATTGCTGGAGGGTTGCATGTAAATATGTAAGTTACAAAATCAAATTTATAAAAACGGCTGGATGTTTTCAAGCTTAATAATTGCATCAATGTAGGAAGACAAGAAGGAAACCAAAATATAAAACTTATGAAGTAGAAAAAAATAAGAAATTTAATACGAGTAATTTGCTGTTAAAATGGAAATCAGAGATTCATTACACAGAACAGTAATATTTTTCAAAATGATTAGAACCCAGAAATTAGACAAAAATAAATATTTTATAATTTTTCAAAACAAATATAACCAAGAAATAAAAAAATAAAAATTTCTACCAACTTTTTAGTTTTACTAAGATTTTACGGCACTCACAACTGCATAAAAGTCATAATATTATGAGCACCAAGGGTGAATTTTTAAAGAGCTACACATATTATGCTCAAGATGAGGTCAATCTATAAACACTTGAAATAGACAGTAAAATATACTGATTATAAATACATATATACAAATTTTGAAGCAAAAAAAAATTGTTCAGAATGAACAAAGAAAAATAAAAGATTAAACAATAACATTGTGTCTCAAAAGGGACAGAATCAAGAAATTAGAGAGAAACATATAATTTCTATATATCCACTTTTCAAAGAGTTACATAATATGTTCACACTGAGTAGACACTATAACCACTTGAAATTGATCATAACATAAAATGATTGTAAATAAACATTTACTTTGAACAAGATGGATTATAAGAAAAATGTTGTCGATGGGAACAGATGTACCAGAAGGGGGACACTTTTTAGCAAATCTATAGCCTCAGCATCTAAAACATCACTCTCTAACATATCAGAAATATCACTGTAGCATATCTTCATTCTATTAACACTATGTAGTTGTTGTTGTTTCCAAATCCTTTTAGCTGCGAGCATTTCACTCTTGGCAGCGCAATGCCTCCCTCAAGTAACCACATGTCCTTGTCTCATCTGGTCAACGCCAGAGATTAACACTATAAAATATCAATAAAAAAGTAAGGGCCAGATGGAGAATCTCATGACATAAAACAAAGATGTCTCCACACCAAGCCACACCCACCTGCTCCCCTCCACCTCCTTGGTCCCTGACACACTTTTGAAGCTCAAATCTTCGGTTTTGTCCCTTGAATCTTGTGTCAATGCACATATTACTGGCATTATTTCGTATCTGGAAACAATCAGAAAGAGACCAAAGTTGATAAGACATTCGACAGTCAAAGAATACAGCGCAAAGAAAAGAAAGATATTATTACAGGAACATTCAAGAACGAAACTGAAAACCAAGTTGCCAAAAGGGTATAATCTTATCTTCACTGAATGTGTACATAATTTTTTCATGTAATTTAAAAGCGAGTGATAATTATTATAATTATAAAGCATAAAGTTGGCATTTCATCCTTTTTTGTCTGGAATGGTAACATGTGGTAAAAATCAGAAACTCAGACGAGACAAATGGAATCCGCCCTCACCTCTCCCTCTGCCAGAGGAGGAGGCTCCACAGGAGGGTAATATTTGACCAAGTCAAACGCCACCTCTGTCATAAACCACTTGAAAGGCTTGCAATTGAGCTTCTTTCTGATGTTCTTCTGGGCTGACAGGTCACCGGGGTCAATGTTGCGGTAATGAGGCCGGTGCTTGTACAGGAACTCGGCGTACTCATCCATCCAGACTTCCGCCACACGTTTGTAATTCTATTCAAAATAAACCAAAAAAAAAATAAAACAAAACATTACGAAAAAAAACCATTTAAGAAAAGAAAACAGTGCTCCATTTGATTGACTTAAAAAGAAGCATAATCAAATAAAACAAAACAATGCACAACCCCCCCCCCCCAAGAATACGATGGATCTTTAACTTTAATAAGATGTACTACATTTGTTTGAGAGGAGAGAGAAGCATATTAGGTCTTAGATAAAATAAAACAAAACATTAAGTCACCAAACTTTGGCATCCATTTTCTCCCTAAATATATTTTACTTCTGACATCAAGCGACCCCCACCCCCCTTCTTCTATTGCAAATATCTCGATTTATATTCAAGATAGACAGGCATTTTTACTAAATCAAAAGCAAGACAAATGAGCTGCTTTAAGATTATACCAATAACTATAAATGCCCAAAAACTGATGAGCACTTGATTTCTCCATGTCATGACACAAATATTAATACTATAAAAAATGTCAATATTAAATTTTTTAAAATGTTAAAATAGATTCCAGCAGATGTCAGAAGTGTGGGAACCTTACCCTTCCGACAAAATCTCCCACACCGGGGTTAGGGAAGGGAGCAAACTTGCGATAGATGTGGCCAATACGAGAGCACGGGGCATCCACCATTGTTCCTCCACACTGCCACACCTGGAAAAGAAATGACAAGGGAAAAGGAAAAGGGAAGGGTTTGTTTGCTTCAATTATTAAGAACCAAAACAGGTCATAACTGCCTGAAATACAACCTCTACACAACTTTCAAGATCGGTAACTTAAAGTGGTATCAAAGCGGAACCAGCAGCCATACAGGAAAACACTACAAGTACAAGCCTGCATAATACATCAAGCACTTAGGAGAAAATATTGGCCCAACCTTTGGCTGGGAGTCCTAAAACTGTAAAGTAGCCTTCGCATTAAAGACGGGGATGTCCATTTAACGAAGAATAGGAAGAAAAAGAAAAAGCTTGCGTTAAGAGATGCACATCCACACAATAGTGATCATTTAGTGCTGGGAAAATGTAGACAGACAGACAGGAACAATATAGGGAAATAACAGAAGTAAGACAACAACCAGAGGCACCCTCTAATCACTTGTAGGAAAGGGGAGGGAGTTGGGGGGGGAGGGGGGGAAGTTGAGTTTGATGACAAAATGAGAACAATTGTTTAATACTAGTGAAAGGATCACTATTGCACCTATGTTTTTTTTAGATTATTAAGCACTTTCCTAGAGGAAATGTACCACATAAATGGGATTGATTATTATTATTACTACATCTAACTTTGGTTTAAGTACAAAGCTGGACATCCACAAAATAATGGCCACTGAAAGCAAGGAGCCTACAAGATAGACAGAAAAACACAAAAGAGAGAAAAGAGAGAAAGAAAAAGAAGTAGGACCAACTAAAAGTGCCTTCCAACCACCTGCTTATATGTTCTAAGTATAGGTAGCATCTGGATACGATGAAGGACTCCAGGGCAAAACCTACTTCACAAAAAAAATTTTTAAAGAAGAAAATAGTCAATAAGCAAGTAAACAACTGGCAGCATAAGAAAACTGGCATTTGTGGTGAAGTCACAAGCCAATACGCACTTCCTGGCAGTTGGCATCATCAGGGAAGTGACAGGTGTTTTTTTTAATGCTCCAACTGGAAATACATCTTGGTGGGCAGTATGAAAATTTTAATCTCTTAACTCTTCCTGCCCCAGCCATTTTTGTGCACTCGTTAACCCCAGTCCCAACCAATACAGCAGTATTTCAGAAAAAGAGGAATGCATTCTAAAAAGTGATGCAGTATCTTTGTAATGAGGTTTAGATAATAACATATTATATTATCAATCTTTAAAAGTAAATGAACAAATATGAAAATTAATGTTTAATTATGTTTGCGAATTTCGAAAAATGCACAATTCCGATACCCCCTAAACTGAGAATCTACGCTCTTGGGACAGTGGGAGGTACAGGAGCGCTGCTGAAAATATATGTGCATGGGGCTGGAAGGGTTAAAAGTGGCAAGAATGGGCGCTTGCTATAACAATGTTGATAAACACTGATTTACTCGTACATTGCATCGATGGGGTTGTAAAACAAGCATGTAATATTTAATTTAAAAGAAAAAATAGCACAAGATCCTAAAACCATTAGTGTTCACCTTGAAGGACAGCTCATACTGTTCCCCTCCCCAAATGTCCAGTCCTGGGTCATAGCCTCCCATCTCCCAGAACCACTCTCGGCTGATGGCAAACAGACCGCCCGCCATCACTGGATTCCTGTTTGAAAAGCAGGGAAACCATTTATGAGAGAGAAAGAGAGAAAGCGACAGAGAGAGAGAGCGAGAGACAGAGAGAGAGAGAGAGAGAGACAGAGAAAGAGAGAGAGAGAGAGAGAGAGAGAGAGAAGGAGAGGCAGA